TCTTTTTTTCCCCATGTGTTGACCGAAATTATATACATACATACTAAATTTCTGTTTTTATGAAGGTATACATTAGGATACATTTCCTAGCTGTTTTGTACATCAGTGCATGATCATGTTTTACAAACAGGTCATTGTAAACTTTAACCAAATGTTACCAGTACCAAACTTTATCTGAATGTTCTTGAGGGAATGTAGATTAAGAATTGTATCCGGGATCTTCAATCCATCATCAAATATGACCGCTGTTGTTAAAACCAAAATATAGGGGTAAACATAAAGTAGTTAGAGCAAGACTGACATGGGTAAAAATTATCAGCAGGTCAATGTTTACATCCCAGAAATTTTCAGAAAAATCAGACAATTCAATTTGGTGTTATTGCCCCTGAAATGTCTGTTTCAGCGAATTTTGCAGTTTTTGGCTTATATCTCAAGCAGGAAAGCTGTAAGAGCAAAACTGGTAGATTAAAGTAAGAAGCATTTCAAAGTCTATTTCAATGGAGTTTTCAAGCTACATGTTGTGAAAAAAATGACTTTTTGTATGGATTATACAGAGAAAAAAGGCATCATTATCATATGTGAATAGAAGGTAAATTCAATAAGAATTTTAAATAAATTATGAGGGATCTTAACAAATGCTTTCAGAATATCAAAAGAGAAAAATGATGTTTTTTCCTTCTATAACATAAAATAGAAACATTTTCTGTAGATTCTTTTATAAATTATACATTTTCCAAATTACCTACCCTTTATATGCTTTGTTAAACAAAATTAGAAAGCAATCAAAATATTTTTCTTTATAAAAAATATTAAAAGTATAATTGAAAATCACATATATTGATCAGTTCATTTAATAGAAAATTCTTATATTAACATTGAAATTTGGTGACTTGATTGAAAATGTAGACCTACATGTATTGTGTTCTGCTATTTTACAATCCAAGATGGCGAAGACTCCCATTCCACATTCAGGATGATTTTACAGATGTTTTGCATTTTTAGCAGAAACTAAAGCAGATTGAAAGAATTTTTTAGTAGTATAATAAATATTCAGAGGAAAATGTCAACTGACTCCTTATAAAGATATTACACTTGAAAGACAATTATTACCATTTTTTTTGTGTTTTTTGCAGGACTGTAGTGCTACCTTAAATAGAAATTGTTAATAGAAAAAATGTTTCCGTAAAATAAGAAGTACTAATAAGTCAACAATTATCAACTTACCCCTTATAGGAGCTATTGCCGATGATAGATGAATTTCATACATTTTTGCTTTTTTCCAAAATTATATTAGATACTAATTGTAAATAGCAAAAATATTCAGCAAAATAAGTTCTACAAATATGTTAACTTGGTCGAATTATCAATTGACCTCCTGTATTAGATAGATCTTTTTTTATTCAAAGTTTCTATCTATCTATAATCATAGTTTTCAAGATAGTAGGCAGGAAGGTGAAAAATTGGTTAAAAACATCATTGAAGGACAGTAACTCCAATAAGGAGTCGACTGGCGATTAAGGTCATATTGACTTACTTGTAGATCTTGTCTGTCTGATAAATTTTGCTTTTTAGTTTTTATCAATCTATTATATTTTTGAAGATAAGTCATATTGCAAACAATTGGTAAAAATCGTCACTAAAGGGCAATAACTACAATTAGGAGTGGACGGACTATTTCGGGATTGTCTTGCTGTTTTTTTTTGCTATCTAAAGTTTCTATTTATCTATCATAGTTTTCAAGCTCTAAGGCAAAAATGAAAAAGAAATGTTAAAATTTGTCATTGAAGGGCAATAACTCCTATAAGAAGTCATCTGACAGTTTTGATCAAAATCAACAGTGGTTGACCTAAACATTCCAAACATTATTGCCATGTTAGGTTTTTTTCTATCTAGTGATTTTCAAGATTATAGACAAAACTTGCAGTTTACTCATATGTTCTAATTTTAGCCATGTCTGTCATGTTAGTTGGCAGGATCATCGCACACATTCTATTCAACATGGTACCCCAGTGATGATTGTGGCCAAGTTTGATTCTTTTGGCCCAGTAGTTTCAGGAGAAGATTTTTGTAATAGTTAAAGGATGACAAAAACAAAGGATGGATGCCAAGTGATGGGAAAAGTTCGCACTAGCAATTTAAGCCAGAATAGCTAAAAATCATGTGATAAAAAACTAGTTTTAAAGCAGTCACTGGACCATAAAAATGAAGTCAAAGACAACACATATGAACAAAAGGAGATGTCAGGTTTATGCCTGTGAAAGAAAAAACCAATGAACAAAAATAACCAAAGGACATCTAGAGGGCAACATTCCTTCTTCAACAATAGACAGGTCTACATAACATAGCAAGCTCTAAATCAAATGAGACTATGTAAAAGTTATACATAAATAAAACAGAAAAAATATAAGATCTTAATTTATCATCAAATTCTTCAAATAATAAAAAACATTAAGATTTGACATAAAACAACTTCTGACAGGGTTCCTTGCTAAGGACAGAAAAAGGAAAATGTGGCTTGTAATTTGAGATCTCTTTCCTCCCCCATTTAAATCTCAATCAGAAGATAAACAAAAAAGGTATAAAAAAAAGAAACAAGCACACATATTCATAGGATACCATGCCCCGCTCGCACTATCTTATTTTGATGTTCAGCAAACCATGAAATTACTCAAAAACCTAATTTGGCTTATAAATTAAAGAGGTTATTTGATGATGAACTAAGATTCAAGTTGATGTGAAAACAAACTACCTTAAACCAAAAATTTTTGAATTACACATGTCGATGTTAAGTGAACAGGGATGGGCACGATTACTGACAAATGTAATAATCGATTACTTGAAGGATTTTTGTGTAATCGATTAATAATTGATTACTCTGATTTTTGTATGTAATCGATTGCAATCGATTACTTTAGCAAAAGTAATTACATTACTTTTCGATTACTGTCAATTACATGCTACAAAATTACAAATTAAATAAAGTAAGTTAAACACAAAGTCAATTATGTTGTTCAATGTATGTATAGTGGAAATTTTGAACTTTACAAAAATAGCATTTAAAGCAATGTTTCCAAATTTTATGTTGACAGTTGTTTTCTAGATGGAAGCTCTTACTGTCTAAGGATCCGAAATATTCAAAAATTCTAGAAATTTTGGTTTTCAATATGAATGATTGGTGATAAAGTTCTTGCAATGGCATCACATTGCATCAATCACTTCTTTATATTTTAGGTTATTACCTCCATATTTTTGCAAATTTTTGCTGTCATACTGACTAAAGTTAAGTTTTTTGTTTTTACTCATTATTAACAGCTATATTTGAATATAGTTCATTACAATGTTGAAAGTTTACTCTGAAAAAAAACTATAAAAAAGTAGAATAATTAATTAGTTCAGCTAATTTTAGAGATGAAAATTTATGATTTATAATTACATGCATGAATTAATCCTTTTGTTTTGACAACCTCCCTAATTACAGGCTATAATACTGCCAATGGAGTACAATTATAACCTGGGGCAATATAATGTAAATCTCCTCTTAATTAGACATAATTGAAATCAAAACAAAGTCTTCATCTTATTGATTAGAAGTCTTTGTTCATCTGATTCTGATTAGTAAAGACAAGAAGTTGTTGAGAATTTTGTATACTCATTTCAAAATTATAAACAATTTATATTTTTTGTGCAAAAATTGGATACATGTATCTCTATTTCTGAACAAGAATTTTAATGCATAGCCATTGGTTCATTGTCAAAAGGATTTCGTGTACTTTGTAATTTTTATGTCATAACATTATAATGAATCAAATGTTTATCTATTCTAAGCTAAAATTCCAACTATTATTGAAAATTATGCTTTAAGGAATTTTAATACAAATAAGCTTACTACTGCAATATAGTACAGATTTTAACTTAAGACTTATTTCTTATTTAAATCTATTTTCTTATTTTTATATAAAAGGTCTTAAATTATTGACCAGCAAGAAAAGTCATTTGTTTCAAAAGCTAGATATACAGTATAATTTGATAGATCTGGTTGAAGCAGCTGGAGCCAATAGATAGAAACAAGGCATTTGATAAACTCTTAAGTCATATCAATACATTTTATTTTTATCTGTACTATAAAGTGATGAATACATACATACTTTCAATTAAAATAGATTATATTTCATCAAGCTATTTTACCAAAGTAATCGAAATGTAATCGAAAATTAATCGATGATTACATCATAATTTTTGCTGTAATCGATTAAATTACGATTACATGTAATCGAAAATATTTTCGATTACAGATTACTGTCGATTACTGGAAAAAATGTAATCAATTACAATCGATTACGATTACCCCATCCCTGTAAGTGAATCATGAAATCTTGGTCAAAACCCTAATTTGGAAAATATATGAAATAGTTCACTTCATAATTAACATGTGTACTAAATTTCAAGTTGATGTGACAGCAAACACTTAACCAAAACTTTAACCTGATAAATGGACAGAAGTACAGATGCACAAATGGGAAAATATAATGCCCCACTCCTATCGTATATAGAGCATTAAAACAAATTACACTTAAAACTAACGAAAGCAAGCTCAAAGTTATTACTAGCCTGTCAACACTGAGGTTGTGAGTTCGAATCCAGCACTTGGTAGGTGCATTAGACTCCAATCTTAATTGAATAGGATTGTTAGTTTTCCTACCGAAGGTTGGTGGTTCTCTCTATGGACTCCGACTTCCTCCACCAATTAAAAATGACCGCCACAAAATCGCACAATAGTGTTGAAAGTGGTGTTAAACCTTAATCAATCAATCAATATTAAACTGCTGATTAAAAATTACAAAGCCCTGCACTGAATATGCAGCAACATCATACATTATAGAACAGTACAGTACATGCTTAATGTAAACTTCAGACCATATGGCAAACATGTCTACAAGATTTTGATTATCCAGCTCTTTTAGTCTGAAATGTAAAGCTTCATTCAAATAGTTGACATTCCTGTTTTGCATCTGGGATCAAAAATCCAAAATATGTTATTAACCGTAGAGCTTGACACCAAATGGTATCTTAAAAAGTGATAAATGGTAAAATTCAATAAATTCTAAATGCATTTACTAATTTTTAATGTATCTATTGTTATTATTCTACACATTATTAATGAAATATAACATCATAACTTCCTGTTATGATTTATCAGTAGAATTCAATCTCCTTCATTTATATCACATGCAATTTTACATTCAGTTAACAAAAAACATATAAATCATCCAACTAGTATCATATATAATTATCAAAATATGAGTCACATGCATACAAGTGATGCCAGCATTCCGTCTCCTTTTAGAACACTATCTCTACCACAAAGAAAAGATATTTAACACATGTATATCATTCATCCAATCTGTGATGGAACAAGAGGCCAGGCTGGGGGGATTTTACTGACTATCTGTTTCATTTGATTCTTTATCTTTATAAAGTGTCTTTTGAATTCTAATCCATCTCCCTGAAAGTATAAATTAAAATAAGTTTCAAACTGATTATAACGGTAAGAAGTGGAGTCAAATTATCAGATACAGACAAAAATATGCATGTAGCGACCACCTATGTATAGAAAACAATTCAATATGACCATAATTTTTTATTTTATTCAATGAAGCTTTACTGTCTCAATGGTTTCCAGTAGCATACTTGTGTGAGTGTGAGAGGTTGTGGGTTAAATTCCCAACCAGGTCAAATAAAATGTCATGATCCGGTAAACTTCAGCAACACACTCAAAAGTTAATTAGATTGTGATCAACAATCACTGAATGATATATTATTTGTTTTATAATACATTACAGATTCCTAATAAATGTAAAAAAACGTGCAAACAGGACTTAGTTTAGTATATATGGATGCACTGGTTCAATAATTTTGATAACATTATAATTACATAAAACTTGTTTCATATGACTTTAATTGACTGTGAATGTGTATTTTTCACTTTGGGCTCATAATTCTCCAATCATCTAAGCCATGCATTTGTCTGTGGTTAACATTGTAATAAATAGGAATTTCAGTCACAGTTGGTCTGGAATGCACCCTACGATCCTTAACTTGTATCAATTTTTCAATCGCGGATGAAGGAAAATTAACAAAAATTATAAATCAATTGTTTTAAAAACAATTGTTAAACGGTCTTTCCCCTACGAAAGATGATTAATTAATTTTTTGCTTGGTTGGTTGGTTGGTTGGTTGGTCGGTCGATTGATTGATTGATTGATTGATTGATTGATTGCTTGGCACTTTCTCTGTGCGACGCAGATAACTTAAATAACGCCTATATTCTGACCGAACGTGACTGCGTACTTATACATCTCGCACAGCCAAACGGACGCCTGAGATGTCCTCATAAAAATTGATCCTAGCATCATTCGTTTATAAATTTTCTCTAGTTTCTATGTAACCTCGGACTTCCATTTTTCATCCATTTGTTGTGTATGCATTTTGATTGAATTTGTAGGAAAACGGAGTAAATTTTATCTTGGAAGTTTTATTTTCCTTATTTGGATATGGAATGTTTTATTCTAAATTTAGGTCCGCGCGCGAGATGGTGTTGTGAAGTCACGTGACCCTCGAATATATATGTCTGGAGTTAGAATATTAATTTCTTTTCAGAGGAGACCGTTGAACAGAGCACATGTGTACTGATCAGACAAACATGATCACTATTGGTTTTATTATTTACAGGTCATTGATGACGGATCATGCATTCATCTTACGTACACATGTTTACGGGAGCACAGATTTGTATTTTAATGCATGATTAAAAAATTTGATTGTAGGATTTCAGCAATATTTACGAATTTGGGAGCAATTTTTTACGTCATTGAATTTTATTTCTCAATCAAGCGGACCGCGTCAAACAGGAACATGAATTGGAGCCGATTTTTGCAGGAATGAATTTCTATTTAAGAAGTTTGTACATCAGAAGAATTGCATTTTTACAGTAAAATGTACAGGACTGAACTTCAAGGCGAAATGGGATTCCTCAAAGTAGAAGAAAAAAAAATAAGAATAAAAAGGGAGGGGGGAGGGGGGGGATGGGGGAGGGGAGGGGAGGTGGAGGATGGTGGACCTTGGTTGATAAATTAAGATAAGATGCATGTATACATCATGATAGCTGCAAAGTTTGAGGCTATAATTAGTTCATTTTGTTCATTTTACTATTTCAGTGGCATGGAACCCCTAAAACAATGACGCGTACCATTTTGACAAAAACTTTCCAGTTATATCATGTCGCGACTAACATTTTGGTCAAATTTTTTTCATATCGCTTCGGTCAAAATAGGACAAATCATGCAAAGGATATAACGAGTAATTTTATAAAATAAATTTGTCGCTTTCTTTTACGGTTACGGAGGAGATGCAGTCACAAGGAAAACAGTGTTCGGGGAGATAACTCCTACAAACAAAATTGTTCGGCTAAGAATGGGTGAAAATAAAAAGCGTATAAAATGTATGATACTATATAAGAAATATCTAAGCGACATCTTGCGAAACAAAAATTTTACGCAAGAACAAAATTTGGCGGAAGAACATAATAATAATCAGAACAAATACAATAGGTCTTTCCACAGAAAAGTGGAAAGACCTAATAATAATCAGAACAAATACAATAGGTCTTTCCACAGAAAAGTGGAAAGACCTAATAAACAATCTTTGATGAGCGAGTTGGAAAGGAATATGATGTTTATAAAGTATCAAACATTAATTCATGGCCATTATAATATCTTTTTAATGAAGTGATACATTATTTTGTAGAATTGATTAATGTACTCAAGTTAAAAGTGTAGGAAGTGAAAAAATTACTTTGGATAAGTTGGCATAAACAGTTGTTCCTATGAAATATCATACGACCAGTCTACAAATTCAATGGGCTTAGTTCTTAATTCTATTTCACACAACTGGCACTTTAACGAGGAGTGTACTAACAGGCCATAATCGAATTTTGAAAATCGCTAAATCTCACCAGCTGACTGACTTCATGGCAAAGTCAAATCGCTATCAAAATCGGTAAAAGGGAGACAAGTCTCACAGGTAAAAAAAATGGCGGCTGACAAGGAAAATCAAGATTTTCGAAACGACCCAGGACTAATACTGTCAACGATCAAATTAAATAAATACAAAGGCGACTTTGAAAATCCTTGGATATAACTTTCAAAACTATTCAAACTGAAAACTGACCGTCTGTTTAAGTTATCATTTTACGATGATTTTCATCCGAGGATGTTGCGTAATCACTCAGCTGATTTGTTTTATTTTTATTAATTACACAAGTCGATTAATTTTACTATTCGGTAGGTAAAGGGTGGGAATTAACGGTAGATTTATTATATTGATTGACTAAAAATTGAAATATAAAAGGTAGAAAGACAGCTGATGGATAATGTGATTGCAAACGTACGACACTCGACCAGATTGTGATCAGCAGTGGAATTTTTCTCACGACCATTTCGTTGATATGAATGATATCTTTAAAAAATTCGTAAGGGTTCCGCGGAATCCAGTGTCTCGCCTACTTTTGCTGTTAATCGCAGGCTCAACAAAAATGAGGAAAAAAATAAATAAAAATATTCCTCTCTATACTATCTTTTGATTGTAAGTAGCTTCTGTCCAAGTTTGGTAAAAATCCAGGATAGTTTATGAATCTTATAAATGTTTTAAAAACTTAAACTGCAGACGGTATGTAATGTTAACTGGAAGAAAAACAAAGTCCATTTATAAGTAAAATCGAACAAAATTTTAACAAAGTTTCCTTCTAGATACTATGTTTTAATCATAAACAAGCTTCTGTCCAAGTTTGGTACAAATCCAGGATAGTTTAAGAAAGTTGTTAAAATTTTAAAAACTTTAACCACAGAGTGAATGTAATGTTAACTGGCAGAAAAACTAAGTCCATTTATAAGTAAAATACGGAAAAAATGGATTTTTTTTTACAAAATTTACTTCTGGATACTATCTTATGATCATAAACAAGCTTCTTTCCAAGTTTGGTAGAAATCCAGGATAGTTTAAGAAAGTAATTAAAATTTCAAAAACTATAACCACAGAGTGAATGTAATGTTTCTTGGCAGAAAAACTAAGTCCATTTATAAGTAAAATACAGAAAAAATGGATTTTTTTTTTACAAAATTTACTTTTGAATATTATCTTATGATCATAAACAAGCTTCTGTCCAAGTTTGGTCGAAATCCCGGATAGTTTAAGAAAGTTATTAAAATTTCAAAAACTTTAACCACAGAGTGAATATTTGTGGACGCCTCCGACAACAACGACGACGCCGACGGAATGTAGGATCGCTATGTCTCGCTTTTTCGACAAAAGTCAAAGGCTCGACAAAAATGATAGAAATTAGCTCTTTATCGGATAATTAATATGCGATTGAAAGATATTTTCATTTATAGGCTTACAATCTTTAACGATAATCTCAATTTACAACTAACATAATGTCCTGGACATTCAATAATGTTTTACAAAATAATGACAAGTGGTGATATATAAAATAAAATTCCCAGTCGTGTGAAATTCATCAGGTAAACAGGGAGTCATATTTTTTCTGGACTTTAAAAAATAAATTGAGGCAGATGCACATGAATTTAATGCATCATAATCTTGATAATATTACTAGGCTACTCCCTCATGTCCCAATCAACAAATTTTATTTAGAACACATTATGGTATCAATAAATAAATAACAACTATATATTGTCTAAACATTTTTATTAAGAACTTTCTATATATACGTTGTGTACAATAACATATGAAAAAACTGCAAGTATATCTTTTATTGCATATAAAACAATTTCCTTAGTGATAAGCATGCAAACCATTGCAAACCGAAACGGTAATGGAATCTCACTTCTCCAAGAAATTGACCACTTCTCCCTTCTCTCTCATGGAAGGAGTAGTCACTTCTCCCTCTTCAAAATCCTAGATTAGGCCCTGTACTAAAATAATCAAAGTTCAACTTGACGTTTTTAATTCATTTCAATATATATACCTTTGACAATCTGAAGTCCAGCAATAAGTTTTCTCCCATTTCCATCAGGCAAGCTTTAAACACCAAACTAACATTCCTTTTATCCATTGTAGAAACTGTAACCTGTTAAAATAAAACATTATCATCTTTATGTATTAGTGCCCAAATATTTTGTAGTCATGAATGTTTGCGTATTAAAATGAACCAGGGCTTGACAATAATGCTTGTCCTATTGTCCGGTACCAGAGGAAAAAAAAGTCGGACAAGTAAAAGCCATATCAAGCTTGTCCGACGGGACAAGTAAAATCATTCTGTAGAAAATAATTTAAATCAAACTATGATGATCAGAGTAATAAACAAAAAAACGAGAAAGATCAAGAAAAGAAGATAAAAACAAATATTAATTTGACAAGTTTACTTGCGATCGATAATTTAAAACTGGTTCTTCATGTTCTTTGTCAGATACTTTATTATAAAAGATAAAACGCAAACTATTCCCGGAATCCAGTCTTACTGATCGGAATCAGCATGTGCTTTGTAGATAAGGTGACAAGACAGTTCGGCACCGGCACGTTAACGAATCATGTGCCTCATGTGCAGAGTGAGACTTTGGCATTAATGAAAACTAGAACCTAAGTCCTGTGACATGACTAGATTCAGTTGTTCTCGACTCATATTTTTGAAAAGGATATCAAGAGATATAAATCAAATTCAAAAGGATATCAAGAGATATAAATCAAATTCTGTTCTATTGTTTTAGTTCATTTCGTTCATTGAATCAACTTAAAATGCAAAAAAGGTTAATATTAAGATTTTTTATGGACAAGTTACAAATCCATTCGGACAAGTAAGTTTTGGTATGTACTTGTCCTATTGGGCAAGTTGAAAAAAAAGTTAGTGTAGAGGCCTGTGAACACTAGGTGATTCAGTTAAAAACACTAATGGTGGTAATTTTGCAGAATAAATTGAGGTGTTTGTTTAACATCTCATTCTCTTTGTATTTTATATCTTTGTATAATAGTTATTATATGGGTATTATATATCAGGGTTGTTAAACATAATATTATTATCTTCAATCACCAGCAAACACCCATGTCCAACACCAGCATTGGTGATTTTTAATTATTACTCCTGTGTGTACTTGTGTACTGCAATTTGTATTAAATAAATTAAATCCTTAATTGATTTTTAAAATTTGTTTATGAACAAAAATGAACATTGCTAGTAAAAAATATAGAATATAATATAATTTTATCTTAAGCTCTGATTAATGTACATTTCAGAAAAATAAAACTACATGTCAGCAGTTCAAAACGTGATTGAAATTTCAGATTTGTTTTCAAAGTTTGGACAAGCGTAATAATGTTTCCCACCAAATTCAAATACAATATAATGCAATCAACAAATATGTGTCATCAGTTTCATTTAAAAAGGACAAAACATTTGTTTTTAACTTATTTGATGGGAGTTTTTATGCAATATTAAATTTTCAAATCTTTAGACCAGTAATTAGATTCCATAACCACTATGTCATCACAAAGAAAACAGTACATTGAAAATCATCGTGTTAAAATTTATCTCCCATGAAACTGTATCAACTCCCTTTAACAGGTTATTTCTAAGATATCAAAAGCTTTGTATTACCCATACCCTATAATATTAAATACAGAAACAAACAGAAGTCCAAAGTCATGTATCCATATACTGTAAACAAACTTATATTGGCGAGTGACTTATTTTCGTGGGAAGAAAAATAACACGAATATAAATAGCTGCAAATATGTCAATCTTAGATCTTCTCAATCAAAGCGAAATTGGCTGGAAAGGGCTAAACAAGAAAAAATGAACCTACGAAAATAAATAGGTTTACAGTATACATATCACACTTACCATTCCTGGTGAATTTTTCTTCCAGTTATAACCGAGCTGCTGTAGAACTTTATCTAATTCTTCATATGTCTCTTCTCTGTCAGTCTTCACAAAAAATCTTGTCATTCTTCTTACCAGTTTTTGCATTGGGGTCTACAAAAATTCAGATTCTGTATGTAATGCAAACTGACTTCAAAAGGGAATAGAACCTGAATAGTCATATTAGACTGACAGAGGACAAACCTCTCCTGTCCTGAAAATCATACTCTCCTTGGAATGAAATCCATGAATTCAATACTTGAATAAGTTAGAATAATATATAACCTTTTGCAAATCTATATTTCAAAACTAATTCTTTTCATAAGTGTTTATTGCTAATCATTTCTGAATTTTTTTAAAAGGTCTTCTTTTACTGATTGGAAATGTCAATTCAAAGTGATGTATGGAGTCTTGATATAAAAAATGTTGAAGGATTTCAAAACTTTTACATTTCATCGTATGATGCAAAAGTTTTTAATATACTCCTATACAAAAATAATATATGTTTAATCTACAGAAAAAACCTCTACCTGTGACGACCCAGGAGTACCCTGGAACTGTGATGATAACAACATATGATCTGGATGAACTGGCTGTGAGAAACTGAATATATGATTGGTATCATCTGTATTAGTAGGAGTTGTCTCCCCATGATAACCATGCTGGTTATATTCTGGCTGAGAACAGGATATCCGAGACAAGTCACTGTAAAAAGTAATATTGCAATAAAATAAAATCTACATTTTCTCCATTTAAACTTATTATTCTTGCTTTATTTCTTTTGAAAATTTCCTCATTTTTCTCTCCTCATTTCAAACACTATATACCCAACTTTGATGTGGAGGTATAAAAATTCATATGCAATCAGCTAGCGCTGTATCTTTCACATGTATGTTTTATTACACTTAACCAATCAAAAATCTTTCAGTAAATATATTCTAAAGGAGTCCTTAGTTCTTTTATACGTCATATGTGTTTATAGATGTGTACACTAGTCTTTTGTTGTTTTGTTATGTGTTGTTGGGTTGCTGTCTTATTGACAAATATAAATACACCACATTTTCTTTCTTTAATTTATTCATTATTCATTAACATAACCTCATACAGTAATTTGAGTAATAAGCAAGATTAATAAAATTAAAGGCTACACATTTAACAGCAATACCCATGTAACTCAACTCATTCAAAGAGTACATGTATCATCAATTTGTAAAAAAAGTACTATAAATTCAGACAATTATTGCAATGTTTTTATTAATGCAAAATGTGACAGTATCAGGTTTGCAATAATAAAAACTCTCATTCATAATTTCAGTAGTGATTTTCCTTCACAAATTTTTTTTTAATCGCATTACACAGATCACACAATTTTACTAGTAATCAGTGATTCGCAATAATAAATGCATGCATAAATTTCTGAATTTACAGTAATTAACATCAGCAAGTTAAGTACTTTGAGTTTGCTTTCAGTATTTGTGAGCACTCTTTGCTTTTCAGTACTGCTTCTCTTGCATGTTCTTTTATGTACGTTTTGCTAATCTATTGACTAAAAAGGGGAAGGGTTGAGATTTTAAATAACAAGTTAAACCCCACAACATTTTCATGTGCCTGTCCCAAGTCAGGAACATTGTCAGTCGTTGTTGTATGTCAAATGAGTTTTTCGAATTTGGAGAACATGTTTTAATGGCATATCTTTTATTGTTTCTGTTAAATTTCTTCTTTTACAACTTTTATAGACTTTGAGAGCCTGACATATTATATAGGCACCTGACTGTTGTTGAAAACTATATGTATTCCTTTAAATTATTTTTTTTGTTGGGTCAGGCCATAATCTTGCCGGCAAAATGACGATTTAAGTCGCCAAAGAATTTTGAAAATCGCTAAATCTCGCCGGCCGACTGACTTCATAGCGAAGTCAAATCGCTATCAAAATCGGTAAAAGGGAGACAACTTGTGATTGACAAGTCTCACAGGTAAAAAAAAATGGCGGCTGACAAGGAAAATTGAGATTTTCAAAACGACCCAGGACTAATACTGTAAACGATCAAATTAGATAAATACAACGGCGACTTTGAACATCCTCGGATATAACTTTCAAAACTGTTTAAACGGAATACTGACCGCCTGTTTAGTTATCGTTTAACGATGATTTTCATCTGAGGATGTTGCGTAATCACTCAGCTGATTTGTTTTATTTTTATTACCTACACGAGTCGATCAATTTTACTATTCGGTAGGTAAAGGGTGGGAACTAACGGTAGATTTATTATATTCATTGAATAAAATTGAAATATAAAAGGTAGAAAGACAGCTGATGGATAATGTGATTGCAAACGTACGACACTCGACCAGATTGTAATCGGCAGTGGATTTTTTCTCATGACCACTTCGTTGATATGGATGATATTTTTTAAAAAATGATAGAAATAAGCTCTTTATCGGATAATTATTTTGAGATTGAAAGATATTTTTATTTATAGACTTACAATCTTTAACGATAATCTTAATTTACAACTAACATAAATGTGCTGGACATTCAATAATGTTTTACAAAATAATGACAAGTGGTGATATAAATTAAATTCCCCGTCATGTGAAATTCATCAGGTAAACTGGGAGTCATATTTTTCTGGAGTTTTTAAAAATAAATTGAGGCAGATGCACATGAATTTAATGCATCATAATCTTGATAATATTACTAGGCTACTCCCTCGTGTCCCAATCAACAAATTTTATTTAGAACACATTATGGTATTAATAAATAAATAACAACTATATATTGTCTAAACCTTTTTATTAAGAACTTTCTATATATATATATACATTGTGTACAATAACATATGAAAAAACTGCAAGTATATCTTTTATTGAATATGAAACAATTTCCTTAGTGATACATGTGATAAGCATGAAAACACGATGCAACTGAAACGGTACTGGAATCTCACTTCTCTAAGAAGTTGACCACTTCTCCCTTCTCTCTCATGGAAGGAGAAGTCACTTCTCCCTCTTCAAAATCCTACATTAGGCCCTGTGGGTTGCTGTCTTATTGACATATATACTCCACATCTCCTTTTTACATATTGTTTACTATTTAATATGATCAGTAAAGTGGGGCCAACGATTTCATTCATGATAATAATTAAATGCTAGGACCAGAAAACCCAAGATCAAAGGTATTTTTAAATTAATAAGTATGCATAAATAAAGGGCAGAATTTTAAACAAAATGTTGAGAAACACATGAATTTGATTTGATTTGATTTTTGGTGTTTTAACGCCACTTTTAAGCATCGCTTTTTGGCTATTTCGTGGCGGCCAGTTTTTATTGGCGGAGGAAGCCGGAGTGCCTGGAGAAAACCACCTACCTTCCATAGGAAAACTGACAATCCTAGTCAATTAAGATTGGAGTCTAGTGCACCCGCATGAGCGGGGTTCGAACTCAAAACCTCAGTGTTGACTGGCTAGTGATTACAGTAGTAACTACTTAGACCACTCGGCCACCGAGGCCCCACACATGAATTTTAACATGATGTTGTGCAGAAGTTGATAAGGAACATTCGGAAATTTACATTGTAACGTCATTCTTTTATTCTTTTGCTTTTCTGCACCTCATTGTGGCTAACGTAATGCATGCATACATGTTACAACTTTTGTTTCCTTCAAAATGTTAATTTTACATGCCTTTTTTCTTAAGTTTGCATATTACCTATCAGTAGACTTAGGTGATAATTCATTCTTTGAGCAAACTTTCTTGAATGGCCCTGTACCACAAGGAGATCCTGATGGTGAACTTGAAGGCATTCTACTAAAGGGACCTGAAATACAATCATTTAACAGTATCTAAAGGCACTTACTATAGTACAACACACTTTATGACATTCACTTAGATCACAGTTACAACTCTCCCTTTATATTTCATACCTTTCTTGCATTTCCTAAGCAATACATTAAAACAAATTGCCTTACCATCCCATTACTTGTCATTATTCTTTAAGTTAACAGGTATGTAAATGGTCAATCTTGCAGATTTTTATGAAATTTTGCAGGAAACTAGAGTATGTGGAACTGCATATGAAAACCAGCAACAATATATAAATTACTTTAATACTTTTGGAGATATAGCATATATATTTAAGAGCATGTAAACGTCACCACAAATATATATTTATTTTACTTTAAATTGCCTTTTCTCAAAAATCTGTCATATATATCTTTTTTTTAAATCATATGTTATTGCCATCAAAATTTCCTTTTTATTGATATATAGGTGTCACCGATTTTGTTTTTGCTGTATAAACCATTGTAGTGTATATGTTATATATTAGTCAACTGATAGACTATAACTTACCATTTATACTCAAATTTTCCTTATTTGTAAACAGACCTTCCCCATAAGTTCACAGTATGTGTGAAACTTCTGTACTTTTGTAAAGATATTAATTGCATGAATCAGCCAAAATTTATGAAGAAGGGTGATACATCAAATGGTTGCATTTTTATGATGAAAGGACAAAAAACATATTTTTATTTCCTTAACATTGAATTTTATCATTTTCTAAAATATTCATACTTAGTGTCTTTTATATAAAACAAAATGTTGACACAGAGATATGTCTCACCCATGGTAGAAAATTCAGAAAAAAACAATCTGATGGACAGCAATATTTCTAATTAATTCAACTCAATGGACCATGACCTAGTGCTAGGGCCTCGAAATAGTCATCAAACTAATTTTTACTGGTAGTAATGCAACTTCATAGAATAGATCATTGATCTATCACAAGTAGTTCCTATCAAACTAACTTAAGCAGAAAACTTAACATTGAAAATTATTTATTAATTGAAAGTCGCTGGACCATGACCTCAATTTGTAGAAAAGTTTCAAATAAAAATAATAAATTAAATAACTCTGTTGAAATCATATATGTACTAAAAACATTACCAGTAACTTACTTTTGGCTTGTTTGTTGAAGTTTTTATTGAACCACTGATGAGATTTCACTTGTTGAATTGTATATCTTTTCTTAGGATTTTCTACCAGCAACTTTCTAAGTAATGCTGAAATTACATAAGTTCAAAAACTATTTTAAATGTAAGAAAAAACATTTTTTCCCACTTTAATGTGAGAGTTTAATTACAAATCAGTTTTCAGGCACATAGATACAGACGCTTACAACATTAATATAGTTTGTGCCAATATTTGGTTGACTGTTATGGAATATCTGTCACAGATGACCATGAATATGTCAAATTTTCAATTAATTCTATCAACTTTTCTGTGTTCACCATCAAACACAGACCAACCTCAATAAGTCACAGTCAAAGTCGAAAGGACCCGACAAAACAATAAGATTCATCTGCGGTTGCAAGTAACAGCATGGTGCTCAATTTCAAAATTGTACCCTGTATTGTTAATCTGGTATGTTAAGGTGGAAGACATATTATTTCTCCAATTCATTTGCATTGATAGCACATGTAGTATCAAAAAAACAAATTTAATTGTATCAAATATAGACAGAATAAACAGTTCATATCTGATTTTTTATATTCATAAAGATCGAAAAGGAAATATATACTTGTACACAACAACCTTAATAGTTCCACGGTAGCATGATAAACAATGTACAAAAGGTTATGGTTTTGATCCCCATCCATAGCAGGTCTCAATATATAACTTTGGGACAGAAGTCTTGCTAGGGTTTAACAAGATTGCACACGTTGAAATGTCTCACCTGCTTTACTGACCATTGATTTTATGTTGAAAGTCTTAAAGATTAAGGTTTTACTACACCTATCACATGAACTTAACATTTTTAGAGATCCATGAAAATGAGGTCAAGGTCAGATAAATCCTATCAAACAGACATGTACACCTTACATTTATTCCATACACCAAATATAGTTGACCTATTGCTCTATGGTAATTGAAAAACAGACCAAAACACAAAAACTTAACATTGACCAATAAACCATGATAATGAGGACGAGGTCAGATGATACCTGCCAGACACAAGTGTACACCTCACAATTATTCCATATACAAAGTTAAGTTGACCTATAGCTATAAGAATTTGGAAAACAGACCAAAACATAAAAACTTAACATTGACCAATGAAAAATGAAAATGAGGTCAAGGTCAGATGATACTAAGTAGACCGACATGCACATCTTACAATCATTCCATACACCAAATATAGTTGACCTATTGTTTATAGTACTTGGAAAAACAGACCATAACACAAAAACTTAACATTGACCAATAAACCATGAAAATGAGGTCAAGGTCAGATGAAACATTCCAGACTGACATGTACCCCTTACAATCATTCCATACACCACATATACTGCTTATTTTTTCTGAGAAAAGGACCTAATCACGTTACTTTAGCCTTGATCATTGATCCATGAAATGAGGTCGAGGTCAGGTGAACAATGTCTGAAGGACATGTAGATGTTGCAAGGACACCATATATCAAATATATTTATACTATTACTTATTATAAGTGAGAAATTCATAGGACAAAAACCTTTAATTTTTTTCAAGCAGTCACTGAACCATGAAAATGAGGTCAAGGACAATGGATTTTGACAAACAGAACATTGTAACATAAGATATCTGCGTATAAGGTATGAAGCATCCAGGTCTTCAACCCTGTGAAATATAAAACTTCATACAAATAGTTTACACCACTGCAGGATAGTAATCCCTATGTCTTGCATACTGCGACGAAAGTCGCAGGCGATACAAAAACCACCAGCATTAATATCTTGTTTTTTATAAATCCTGACCCATACATATAACTAATAGGATATTCATAACACATTTATATATTTCCAAGTTATCAGAAATACATTGTGTGTTAACTTATTTAGGTGAACCACATGGGACCCTTCATATTTTTAGATAAAAAAAATCAGTACAGTTTTTAAAGACTTATTAACAGGTGATTATTTACAAAATGTATGACCCATTAACATATAAATATTTATCCATTAGGTATATAACCTCTGTGAAATTTTTCACCCATTGATTTGACATTCCAAAAATGTTAACCCATACCAGCAGCACGTCTATATTGGAAGAGACCCCCCTCCTGTCCCTATCAGGCCATAATCTTGCCGGCGAAATGACGATTTAAGTCGCCAAAGAATTTTGAAAATCGCTAAATCTCGCTTGCCGACTGACTTCATAGCGAAGTCAAATCGCTATCAAAATCGGTAAAAGGGAGACAACTTGTGAATGACAAGTCTCACAGGTAAAAAAAATGGCGGCTGACAAGGAAAATCGAGATTTTCGAAACGACCCAGGACTAATACTGTCAACGATGAAATTAAATAAATACAACGGCGACTTTGAACATCCTCGGATATAACTTTCAAAACTGTTCTAACGGAAAACTGACCGTCTGTTTAAGTTATCATTTTACGATGATTTTCATCTGAGGATGTTGCGTAATCACTCAGCTGATTTGTTTTATTTCTATAACTTACACACGAGTCGATCAATTTTACTATTCGGTAGGTAAAAGGTGGGAATTGATGGTAGATTTATTATATTGATTGAATAAATATTGAAATATAAAAGGTAGAAAGACTGCTGATGGATAATGTGATTGCAAACGTATGACACTCGACCAGGTTTTGATCAGCAGTGGATTGTTTCTTGCGACCATTTCGTTGATATGGATGATATTTTTAAAAAATGATAGAAATTAGCTCGGATTGCGATTGAAAGATATTTTCATTTATAGACTTACAATCTTAAACGATAATCTCAATTTACAACTAACATAATGTCCTGGACATTCAATAATGTTTTACAAAATAATGACAAGTGGTGATATAAATTAAATTCCCAGTCATGTGAAATTCATCAGGTAAACTGGGGAGTTATATTTTTTCTGGACTTTTAAAAATAAATTGAGGCAGATGCACATGAATTTAATGCATCATAATCATGATAATATTACTAGCAGGCTACTCCCTCATGTCCCAATTAACAAATTTTATTTACTGGAACACCGTGAATGGTATCAATATGTCTCTGGTATCAATAAATAAATAACAACTATATATTGTCTAAACCTTTTTATTAAGAACTTTCTATATATACATTGTGTACAATAACATATGAAAAAACTGCAAGTATATCTTTTTATTGAATATAAAACAATTTCCTTAGTGATAAGCATGAAAACACGATGCAACCGAAACGGTAATGGAATCTCAATTCTCCAAGAAATTGACCACTTCTCCCTTCTCTCTCTTGGAAGGAGAAGTCACTTCTCCCTCTTCAAAATCCTAGATTAGGCCCTGGTCCCTATCATCATCAAACCAAAGATTTTAGAGTAATATTTGCTGCCTCTCTCACATGCATGAACAACAAGAATTAAGAGCAAAGACATGTCTGCTTGAATTCATAATTAAGAATTCAAGTGATCCCTTATAAGTATGTACTTTAAAAATATCATATTCAATTTTGTCTTATAAAAAAGCAAGGTATCTTCATATCACATAAAATAATACAATATTTGCTGCTGCATATCAAACAATGGATTACTTACATAAAGCTATTTAATTCATTACTTACATAAAGCTAAATTGTCCACTTTGTTCCAAGGAGACAAGGTTATTTTACAGTCTTTCCAATTACAGTATTCTTGACAGCCATAATTTGGTTCATCCCAGGGGAGTTCTATAATGAAGTATATTTTATTTCATGTATGTAATGTTTATGCATACATTTCAAAATGTTTTGACTTTAAAAAATAAACTGTTATCACAGAGATATGTCTCGCCTTATTGTAATTTTGATAATGCAAATGTTGAAATTAAAATAGCAATACTTTAACATGTAAGTTATGCAAATATTTAAAGTCGATGAACCATGACTGAAGGTACATGGCTAAACAATCTCCATAGAATGAGATGTGCCAATGCTAATACAACTGCATACCAAATACCATTGACTTATTATAAGTCGTTCCCTTTAAACAAACCTATTAACTTGTAAACTATGTAAAAGTTTCAAATTCAATGAACCATGATCAGGGGTGGGGCTATATAATCTCCATGGAAACAATACTTGCAAATGCCAATACATTTGCATACCAAATATCATTGACTTAACATTAGCAGTTCATCTTAAACTGATCTAATCACAAATTAATACATGTAAACTAAGCAAAAGTTTCAAAGTCAATAGACCATGACTGAGGGGACAGGGCCAAATATTCTCCATGGAAATGAGATGTGCTAATGCTAATACAACTGAACACCAATTAAGATTGGCCTACCACTAATGGTTCCCCTTGAACTGACCTAATCACAAACTAATACATGTTAACTTTTTCAAAGTCTACAGACCATGACTAAGGGTGCGGAATTAATTATCTCCATAGAAATGAGATATGCCAATGCTTATACAACTGCATACCAAATATCATTGACCTACCACTAGTGGTTCCCCATAAATTGACCTAATCACAAACTAATACATGTAAACTATGAAAAGTTTCAAAGTCAATAGACCTTGACTGAGGGGGCGGGGCCAAATAATCTCCATGTTAATGCGATGTGCCAATGCTAATACAACTGCATACCAAATATCATTGACCTACCACTAGTGGTTCACCATGAACTAGACCTAATCACAAACTAATACATTGTTGATGCCGCGGTCGCTGCCGCCGCAGGAAACATCATACCTATGTCTCGCTTTTTGACTCTGTCAAGGCGAGACAAAAACAGACATACAGTTGCCTATCTTTTATTTGAACTTTGGAGGATAGTTGTCTCATTGGCAATCATACCTCATCTCCTTATACATTTATGCAATGTTTATGCAAGTATATTTTCAGATTTGAATGCATTGTTTTCCAAAACAGATTTAGTATAAAGAAACTTTCAATTTGTTATCATACAACAAATTACACAATGGTATAAAATAGTATATAAAAGAACGCTCAAAAGCAAGGTTTCAAAATTCAAAGTATAAACATAATTATTGACATATTGGGAGCACAAATAGCCGAGATAGTTAAATTTTCAAAATTCCATGAACTTTCCCATTAGTAAACAAATTATGATTCAATAAATGAGTGGGTGAGTCTGTTTAGCTGCGAAAAAAGATGAAAGCTTTCATATTTACATCGTTGAAAAAAAATTATGAAGCCCTGCAATAGTCAGTATGTAATTATCTCATCAGCAACAGTAAACAAAATTTTTTACATATTTTTAAAATTATTTGTTTTTTTTATAAATATTCAAAATACTTCTGTATTATAAGTAGTAGTTATAACAATTACATCTGCCTTAAGAGGACAATTTTATTCTATATTTTTCTATGTTAAGCAGCACAATGAGAGAAAAACTCAAATACTATCAAAGATATCATGGTCTTCAAATTACTAGAAAACAAAAATATAGATTCAAAACCATAAATACCTCCAGCCAACATGGCTACCAGTATAATGGCACATGACCAAATATCAGCTGGTTCAGCATGATATGGTTGCCTTGACAGCACCTCCGGTGCAACATATGGAACTGTTCCACAACATTTCTCCAGCATTCTCTCCCTACCTTGGTATCGAAACACAGTGGCTAGACCAAAGTCAGATATCTTTAAATTGTCTAAAAATAAATTTTGCATATAATTAATGAGTAATGTTAAGAAAGAAATATATGGTCTACTTTTTCAATTTGTTTTTTTCCTCAAAAGGAAATGCACAATGCCATTTAGTCCTGAAGATACATGTATCTAGGATTTTTTAATCCATTCACCAGTTTATGAGTGGCACAGACGTCAAGTAAAAGTGCACGGCATCCATAAATTGCTGCATTGGGGCTTGAAATAAGACAGCATTTTGATACTAACAGACAAATGAGATTTTTTTCTTTGTCCATGAAATTCAACTTTAATGGCACCTATCACTTCTACCACCTTGTTTTATCAAAATAGATCTGCAGTGTCAGAATTAATGTTCATGTCTTTACATCAATACAAATCATTAATCATATGTTTTCATTCCTTCATCAATGATTTGTGCTACAACATGTACAAGTAGTAGTTTATCAACATTAATTTGTTGCTGACTTCACAATAGATTGCCTCCACTTTACATTTAATTCCAAAGAGTGCTATAACCTCTGCCTTTATTGTACATTTAATTCCAAAGAGTGCTATAACCTTTGCCTTTATTGTACATTTAATTCCAAAGAGTGCCATAACCTCTGCCTTTGTTGTACATTTAATTACAAAGAGTGCCATAACCTCTGCCTTTGTTGTACATTTAATTCCAAAGAGTGCCATAACATCTGCCTTTGTTGTACATTTAATTCCAAAGAGTGCCATAACCTCTGCCTTTGTTGTACATTTAATTCCAAAGAGTGCTATAACCTCTGCCTTTTTTTGTCAATTAAATTCTAAAGAGTGCTATAACCTCTGCCTTTTTTTGTCAATTTAATTCCAAAGAGTGCTATAACCTCTGCCTTTGTTGTACATTTAATTCCAAAGAGTGCTATAACCTCTACCTTTGTTGTACATTTAATTCCAGAGTGCTATAACCTCTACCTTTGTTGTACATTTAATTCCAAAGAGTGCTATAACCTCTGCCTTTGTTGTACATTTAATTCCAGAGTGCTGTAACCTCTGCCTTTGTTGTACATTTGATTCCAAAGAGTGCTATAACCTCTACCTTTGTTGTACATTTAATTCCAAAGAGTGCTATAACCTCTGCCTTTGTTGTACATTTAATTCCAGAGTGCTGTAACCTCTGCCTTTGTTGTACATTTAATTCCAAAGAGTGCTATAACCTCTTCTTTTTTTGTCAATTTAATTCCAAAGAGTGCTATAACCTCTACCTTTGTTGTACATTTAATTCCAAAGAGTGCTATAACCTCTACCTTTGTTGTACATTTAATTCCAAAGAGTGCTATAACCTCTGCCTTTGTTGTACATTTAATTCCAAAGAGTGCTATAACCTCTGCCTTTGTTGTACATTTAATTCCAAAGAGTGCTTTAAACTCTGCTTTTGTTGTACATTTAATTCCAGAGTGCTGTAACCTCTGCCTTTGTTGTACATTTAATTCCAAAGAGTGCTATAACCTCTGCCTTTGTTGTACATTTAATTCCAGAGTGCTGTAACCTCTGCCTTTGTTGTACATTTAATTCCAAAGAGTGCTTTAAACTCTGCCTTTGTTGTAAAGGTTATGCATGAATACCACAGAAATAAATTGCTACTTGCTTATATTTTTCTGTATTTAATTCATCATTTTGGTATTTCACAAGGTCATGCTTTTCTCTGACTTTATGACGTCTTTACACTAAAACCATTGGATGTTGGATGTGTGCTGATTGATTCTTTAGTCTTAGATAAATGATTGTTTTATTAGTTGTTATTGGCTTTGAACTAGCTGTCAGTCACTGCTATGACTCTCAGATCTGTACTTGGTGTCTTTTTTGTTGTACGGATGTAAAAATACTCTGCCACGTCTGGTCTGTGTTTTTGTTACTTGTTTTTCTGCTTTGTATAGATCTGATGAGTTAAGCCCTTTTCAACTGATTTTTATAGTTTGTTCAGATGTTGTACTGTTACACAACTGTCGCGGGTTAGGGGAGGGTTGGGCGCCAGCTAACATGTTTAACCCTGCCACATTCTGTATGTGCCTGTCCCAAGTCGGGATCCTGTTATTCAGTAGTTGTAGCTTGTTGCTTAATATCATATTTGTATTTCATTCATCATTTTTTTTTTCATAAATCAGGCCGTTAGTTTTCTTGTTTGAATTGTTTTACATTTGTCATTTCGGGGCCTTTTATAGCTGACTATGAGGTATCGGTTTTGCTCATTCCTGAAGGTCGTACAGTGACCTATAGTTGTTAACTTCTATGTCATTTGGTCTCTGATGGAGAGTTGTCTCATTGGCAATTATACCACATCTTCTTATCTTTATATAAAAGAAAACTGTAATTTTAATTCATACTCATTCATGCTTTTCTTGTTAACAGATGACTGAACTATGAAAGCTGCAATTTATAGGAACAAATATTTTGACGAACAGTTACCACAACTGAAGCAATTTTTAACTTTATGCATTTCTTTTTTAAAGACTATATATATGTATTCCTTTTTTAACATAAAAGCTGTTTTTGATAACTGAAAGGAAAAAATTTAAGCTTACCAAAGTCATCCAAAAGTAAATTTTCAGGCTTAAGGTCTCTGTGGGTCACCCCTTTCGTGTGCAAATACTCCTACAACATGAAAAAAGATAACATACTTTTTTAAACAATGTGGTTATTTTTGTTTTTGGGTATGTTATGAACAATGAAATTACCTATAGTCCTTTGGATTCTGAAAGGGCGAATTGTTTGACAGTGCTTTTACAAATACTAACAGAAACATCTAAAAAAGGTCTACAATTTAGTACATTCTCATTTCTGCAACATTTTGACATCTATAAACTATTTTTAATACATTTAGTAAGTAAATAATGAAGGATCAATATCACTTTCACAGCTAGAAACAAAGATGCTAGGCAATAAATGCATTGTGCACCAATTTAAGTGTCAGATAACAGTTATTTTTCCTGTTAATATAATGATGTAATTTTACTCCATTGAAGAAACTTGATTTTATTAATATAGTTTCTCTAAGTCAGTCAGTATACCTATACATTGACACTTTACATACAAACTTACAACTCCTGCTAACAACTGTTTAAAGAATTTGTTGGCTTCAATCTGTGGCATACCTGCATCTGGCTCTATATAAAAAATGGATAGAGATTTGTAATACATTAACTGTAAAAGATAGAATTAATGTAAATTATTGTACTCAATGACTAATTTCTTCATCAGTTCTTACATCTTCATACATTTATATATGTTGCTGTTTGTAAGTTAATATACATATGATTGATCTTTCTTCGTGTTTGTTTGTACAATGATGATTAATTTTGAAAAATAGATGTCACAATTCCTATTTTCAGTAAGAATGAGGGATTCTACATTTAATCTTCATATCTTGATCAGATCCATGATCTTCTTTTTGTTAACAAAACAAAAACAATGATATAATTTTTAATAACATTTTTAGTTTCAACCTTGTCGAAATACAATTGATAATTATGGGGAAGTGGAAGTTGTGTGTCCATGTTTGGAAATTCCATAAACATATATGAAACAAACAAACGAAACATATTATCCTGGGTGAAGGTAATATATATACTTAAGTTATGCAAGTCATTGTTGAAGGTCATATCATAACCTCTAGTTTATTTTAGGTTAAATTGTATTGGTTGGTTGCTGTCTCATTGATATTTATCCCATTTTCAATGTTTTTCACATCATAAATTATACCCTTTACAAATATCCTTCACTTACCGATTCTATCGAACAACTCTCCACCACTGGCATATTCAAGAAATAAATACTGGATCTTTTTATCTTTACGTGAACCATAATACTTGATAACTCTCTCATGGTTCAACATATTGTGGACACAAACCTAAAACAAATATTAATAGCAAATATAATTACTGCCTTAAATTACTTTAAACATAGGTTAGTGCTCATTTATAGTAAGCATCTGGTAAACTCAAGTGGCAGTTTTATTACTGGAAAAGCATTTCTAAACAAAAATTAGTGCAGTGAAAATTGGCGATTCAGAGACCTGATCTCAATGTAATGACCGAAATTATTTCTGTAAAAAAATAATTTTTGGATCTAAATACCAATTTGCCATTTCGGACATTGGCCTTTCAGTTTAGGTCGAAACTGGCAAATATGACTCTTTCTGGACCCTGGCCTTGAAATGGTAAAAAGCCAAACATGGGTAAAAGTAAATATCTCTGTAGTTTGAATATACAATTTTTTAAAATAAATATACATAAATGTATTTTTTTCTTACCTTTTCATTTTATTTTAGATATACATGTATATATAAAACTGAACACCAAAGAAAAAAGACAGTATTCGTAAAACTTTTAAACTTTGAACTATAAGATAAATGGACTGAAATTTTCTACTTTAATGATGGAGAAAGAAAATTGTCCTTGGGGTTAAAATCAGAGGGTTGATCAGATAACAGAAATGAAACTTTCTTCTTTTGATCTTAGTATATTATTCCCACTTCAAAGTCTTGGAGTTTAATTTATTATGACCTCTTTCCTGACATTTTCTGCTGCTGAGGCTGTTTTCTCTAGGTTTATTATTTTGACAGCTACAGCTTCCTGAGTATCTGTATTAACAGCAAGTTTCACTCTGTAATGACAAATAAAGATCATGTAGAAACAAAATTGCAATAATATCAAATGTGAAATGTTGTAAATTATCATATTCTTGTCTTGAACATGTTGAAGATATTCATACCTTTATAGAGTAGCCATTACATAAGGGGTGGGGTGATTTTTGTGCATTACAGAAGTTAAAGAGGCAACAAGTCAAAAAATTTATACTGCATAAGTCATAATTGATCAGTTTCCAATCATTCCATGTATGTTTTTCAATAAGCTAAATTAAAACAAGAGTGCACACGCTGAAATGTCTCGCCTTCTTTACTAATCATTGATATTATGTTGATAGTCCTAAATATAACGCTTTACTACAACTTTCACATAAACTTAACATGATCCAAGAAAATGAGATCAAGGCCATATAAACCTAACAAAAAGTACATGTACACCTTACAATCATTCAATACACTAAATATAGTTGACCTATTACTTATAGTTTCTAAGAAACAGATTTAACCAAGAAAACTAAACATTGACCAATGAACCATGAAAATAAGGTCAAGGTCAGATGAACCTTGCCAGGCAGACATGTACAGCTTATAATCCTTCCATACAACAAATATAGTTGACCTATTGCTTATAGTTTAAGAAAAACAGACCAAAACACAAAAACTTAACACTGAGCAATGAACCGTGAAAATGAGGCCAAGGTCAAATAAAACCTGCGAGACTGACATGTACATCATAAAATATTTCCATACACCAAATATAGTTGACCTATTGCATATAGTATTAGAAAAAAAGACCAAAACACAAAAACTTAACTTTGACCACTGAACCATGAAAATGAGGTCAAGTTCAGATGACACCTGCCAGCTAGACATGTACACCTTACAATCATTCCATACACCAAATATAGTAGACCTATTGCATACAGTATAAGAAAAACAGACCAAAACACAAAACTTAACTATAACCACTGAACCATGAAAATGAGGTCAAGGTCAGATGACACCTGCCAGTTGGACATGTACACCTTACAGACCTTCCATACACCGAATATACTAGACCTATTGCTTATAGTATCTGAGATATGGACTTGACCACCAAAACTTATCCTTGTTCACTGATCCATGAAATGAGGTCGAGGTCAAGTGAAAACTGTCTGACGGGCATGAGGATCTTGCAAGGTACGCACATACCAAATATAGTTATCCTAATACTCATAATAAGAGTGAAATTAACATAACAAAAAATCACAAATTTTTTTTTCAAGTAGTCACTGAACCATGAAAATGAGGTCAAGGACAATGGACATGTGACAGACGGAAACTTCGTAACATAAGGCATCTATATATAAAGTATAAAGCATCCAGGTTTTACACCTTCTAAAATATAAAGCTTTTAAGAAGTTAGCTAAAGCCGCCGCCGCCAGATCACTATCCCTATGTCAAGCTTTCTGCGACAAAAGTCGCAGGCTCGACAATAAAGTTAAAGATTGAAATGAATATGAACATGACAAATCATGTATTTTTCGTTTTAATTTCCAAATGAGTGGGAGACAGTTCTACATTAGTTATGGACTAAAAATAATTTAAACCTGAAAACTGAAACAGCATTTTCCTGTTATCTATATACTGTGGATTCATTTATTTTCATGAGTACTAATTTTCTTGGAATCAGAAAATTGTATTTTCACAGATTTCTTGGTTTTGCCAAAGTCTGCATACAACCCTAAATGTGTATTTTGTTGAATATTTAAATTTGTAGTTCACCTTTACCTACGAATAATAATGAATCCACAGTAGTTTATATTATCATACCCACTTCCTTATTGCCACTAACTTAGATCATTGTTCACCTATGCTGTAACAGATATTGTTTGCAAGTCTCCATTCGCAAAAGTTACAATACAGCATACATGGATAGAGAGTGACCAAATCTGTGAGAATTACATGGCAAATAGAGCTAAACACAGGAAAAAAAACCAACACCAAAATTGTGCTTCAAAATTCCCAAAATAGGAATCCTAAATGTATCCATGAGGATGTAGCATTCCAACAATAGTGGTATACATGCATGACATGATGATTGATGGAGGTAAACTTTTGTGTGAATTGTACTGTGGTTTAACTTTATTAAATTGACAAAAAACAATATTATTGCATGGCTGCAACTGTCTGTATGTTCTATAACAATATTGTTCTGTACATACTCTCCATAGGCTCCCTCTCCAAGTGTCTGGACAAAGTCCCAGCCTTCTACAAATGCTGTTATTCCTGTCATTGGATCATGACATTACAGGTATCTGTCTACAAAGTAAAAATATAACTTGTTTTGTTAAAGATGATAAACAGTTATCACTTGCAACCACCATCACTATCAATTACATTGTCAGGCACTGACAAAGTGAACTCACTAGTCACAACAGTGTTCTCGAAAACTGGTGGTCCTGTCCATATTGACCACCAAAACAAGGGTAGGTCTGCACAATTGGGGTGTAGTGGTGTTCCTAATGTTCAGCTAAAAGTTGTTGGTGGTTTTACCCTTTTTTCTTAGGTCATCTATTATTTAGGAATAGCTCCTAAATACAATCTATATCAATATTTGATGTGAAACCATAAAGTTGTTGTCTTTATCTTATTTATACCAACATGTAAGGAAATCATAATAATCAAAAACTAGATATGCAGTGCATTCATTAAGACCCGGTACCCGGTACTTTTACCCGCCTACGGAGGCGTCTGGTACCGGCAGAAAAAATAAAAATACAAAAAAAAAATGTGTAAAATTCTTTTGAAGATCGTTCAAATCTAATTTCTTTCATTCCTTGATAATCTCCGTTCTACGCCATTCATGTGTATGTTTAAAGGTGTCTTCGTCGAGGTCCGCGTTAAAGTATAGATCTATCTTCTGCCAATTTAGGCACACCTCCAAAGTAGGAGAAGTGATAATTATAAACCATGTGTCTGTATCTGTATCGTAAGAGCGCTTTAAAATGCGACGATTTAGCAGTATATTTTCAAGCGGCAAATTGTTGATGAATTTAAACAACAACAGCAATATTATGTCTAATAAAAGGAAAGCAGCTTGTATCACAGATTATTTTATGAATAAAAGGTTTAATAAAGGTGAACATTCTATGAAATTCAGAAAATCGTTAATCGTATCAAATCAGTTCGTTTCCCGTTGGACGTTGTCACTGATCTCCGTCTTCTCGATATGTGTTCTATGTTGTGATTGAATTTTTTAGTGTAAGACTTCGTGAAACAATCTGAACTAACATAACTGTTACGTTTACAAAATATAATATCTGACAAGATTTAAGACTTCTAAAATTGAAAAAAAAGACAGCTCTGAAGAAGTGAAAAAAAAAAACATTTTTACTTACTATAGTCAAGAATCCTATGATTAATTTGCCCCCCCCCCCCCCCCTTTTTCACAATCACCCCTTTTTATAAATATTAAAGTTAAGTGAAAGTTGAATACATGTTTTTTTTTCTGACAAGAACAACCATCACAACACTTAGCATATATCAAAAACGTTTGTTTGCTGTTTTGCATGAGAGCATGTTTATTGTTCATGTTGTTTAATTGTTTGCATGAGCATGACACTGTTAAATTACTTACACAAACAATTGACACAATTATGATTATAGCAAAGCAATAAAAAAAGTTACAACAAGTTTTATCATCATTTTTTTTAATAACAAGAGTGCACACGCTGAAATGTCTCGCCTTCTTTACTAATCATTGATATTATGTTGATAGTCCTAAATATAAAGCTTTATTACAACTGTCACATAAACTTAACATTAACCAAGTAAACTAAACATTGACCAATGAACCATGAAAATGAGGTCAAGGTCAGATGAACCATGCTAGGCAGGCATGTACAGCTAACAATTCTTCCATACAACAAATATAGTTGACCTATTGCTTATAGTTTAAGAAAAACAGACGAAAACACAAAAACTTAACACTGAGCAATGAACCTTGAAAATGAGGTCAAGGTCAAATAAAACCTGCGTGACTGACATATAGATCATAAAATATTTCCATACACCAAATATAGTTGAACTATTGCATATAGTATTAGAAAAAAAGACCAAAACTCAAAAACTTAACTTTGACCACTGAACCATGAAAATGAGGTCAAGGTAAGATGACACCTGCCAGCTAGACAAGTACACCTTACAATCATTCCATACACCAAATATAGCTGACCTATTGCATGCAGTATTAGAAAAAAAGACCAAAACTCAAAAACTTAACTTTGACCAATGAACCATGAAAATGAGGTTAAGGTCAGATGACACCTGCCAGCTAGACATGTACACCTTACAATCATTCCATACACCAAATATAGTAGACCTATTGCATACAGTATAAGAAAAACAGACCAAAACACAAAAACTTAACTATAACCACTGAACCATGAAAATGAGGTCAAGGTCAGATGACACCTGCCAGTTGGACATGTACACCTTACAGTCCTTCCATACACCGAATATACTAGACCTATTGCTTATAGTATCTGAGATATGGACTTGACCACGAAAACTTAACCTTGTTCACTGATCCATGAAATGAGGTCGAGGTCAAGTGAAAACTGTCTGACGGGCATGAGGACCTTGCAAGGTACGCACATACCAAATATAGTTATCCTACTACTTATAATAAGAGAGAATTTAACATTACAAAAAATCTGAACTTTTTTTTCAAGTAGTCACTGAACCATGAAAATGAGGTCAAGGACATTGGACATGTGACTGACGGAAACTTCGTAACATGAGGCATCCATATACAAAGTATGAAGCATCCAGGTCTTCCATCTTCTAAAATATAAAGCTTTTAAGAAGTTAGCTAACGCCGCCGCCGCCGCCGTAGCCGCCGCCGGATCGCTATCCCTATGTCGAGCTTTCTGCGACAAAAGTCGCAGGCTCGACAATAATAATATACTATGTAACTTATGAAATTTCATTCACAAAATTGAACAAATGCAAAACATTTAATAAAAGTATAAAATCAAACAAAACATTTATTGCGAACCCAATGAAAATTTTCCACAGTGCCATCTCTATCTTGACCAGGTATTTAAACTTTTGCAAGTTCACCTGTCCTATTGAATAAATACAATAGCTATTGTTCTCTGTGTAGTTTATTCTCTGGGACCTTTAAATTTCTTCTAAGAGAAATCTATCATTCATTGATAAAATTACCTTGAGTAAAAAAAAATTCTTATATATAGACAAAAATACTTTTTTTATACTCATTAACTGTGTGTGATGATGTAGTTATTCAATATTAATAATATATTTTCATTCAGTTTAATATAAACATTGATTCAATCATAAAAAGTTGATTTCTAACAAAAGTTTTATCAATGTTCCTATTGAAATTTGATTTTTTTTTGTTTAGTTATAGAATACGTTTAAGAAGATCTTAATTTGAAACATCATTATGTTCAAGTTCTTATTCATGTCAAACAAATTTTTTTTTAAAAGGAACAATGTTGAAAGTTTTGTCAGAAATCAACTTTTTATGATTGAATCAATGTTTATATTAAACTGAATGAAAATATATTATTAATATTGAATAACTACATCATCACACACAGTTAATGAGTATAAAAACAGTATTTTTGTCTATATATAAGAAATTTTTTTTACTCAGGTAATTTAATCAATGAATGATAGATTTCTCTTAGAAGAAATTTAAAGGTCCCAGAGAATAAACTACACAGAGAACAATAGCTATTGTATTTATTCAATAGGACAGGTGAACTTTCAAAAGTTTAAATACCTGGTCAAGATAGAGATGGCACTGTGGAAAACATTCATTGGGTTCGCAATAAACAACATTTCACATGAAACCCCTGCATTATAGGTCATACCATGGAAGTATTATATTGACAATAATATAATACTTCCATGGTCATACATATTTTATAACTGATTACAAAATAATTATAAGCAATGTATTTTCAGATGATTACTCTAGCATGTCTAGAAAAAAACCAATTCAATGTTAACTTACCCAAAATTGAAGCAAATATTACAGACTTTACCCTATTTTTTTTTAAGTAAAAAATTAAGGCTGAAATCCCTAAACATGCTAAAATCCATGAACTTCCGGGTGGCTTCGCCTTAAGCGGCCCCCAGACCCCTCGCCATTTAGGTTTGGTTCCCCCTATAATCTCAAAGGTACCTCCAGTCTAAAAAAATAATGAAACCCCTGGATATGGACAATGCCTCCCCCCGTTTCTGCTCTGCCATATGCATGCTTATAGTTCCACATATTTTAGATTTGACAAACAGTGATGTTGGCATACAACTTGAAATTATTACGCTGTTTGTAAGACACAAATGATGCCCCCACCTGACCAAAGGAAATTATAAATTTAACACTGTATGATATTGTAACTGTAGGAGGAGATAGCTGGACAAACCATGACATGATCTCTTTATGCAGCTACATGTAGTACCAAAAAAATGACTGTAGGATGAGATAGCCAGACAAACCATGATCTCTTTATGCAGCTAGTACCGAAAAAATGCATAAGGGTTCCGCAGAACCAAGTGTCTCGCCTAGTTTTGCTGTTATTCGCAGGCTAAACAAAAATGGGGAAAAAATTATTAAAAATTTTCCTCTAGACACTATCTTTTGATTGTAAGAAGCTTCAGTCCAAGTTTGGTAAAAATCCAGGATGGTTTATGAATTTAATAAATGTTTTAAAAACTTCAACTGCAGACTCACTCAGTTTGTAATGTTAACTGGAAGAAAAACTAAGTCCATTTATAAGTAATATATATGGAAAAACAGGAAAGAAATTTTTACAAAATTTTCTTCCAGATACTAGCTTTTGATCATAAACAAGCTTCTGTCCAAGTTTGGTACAAATCCAGGATAGTTTAAGAAAGTTATTGAAATTTTTAAAACTTTAACCACAGAGTGAATGTAATGTTAACTGGCAGAAAAACTAAGTCCATTTATAAGTAAAATACGGATAAACAGGATTTTTTTTTACAAAATTTACATCTGGATACTATCTTATGATCATAAACAAGCTTCTGTCCAAGTTTGGTAGAAATCCAGGATAGTTGAAGAAAGTTATTTAAATTTCAAAAACTTTAACCACAGAGTGAATATTTGTGGATGCTGACGACCACGACAACAGAATGTAGGATCGCTATGTCTCACTTTTGCGACAAAAGTCACAGGCTTGACAAAAAAGACTAAGTTTAACTACCTGTCATTTTCAGAATATTTGAAAAAGATCAAAATCCTGTGGCCATGCACACCTTCATTATGTGTATGAAAATCCTACAAAATATTGAAGTTGTACCTCCAAAACTGTAGGAGGAGATAGCCGGACAAACAATGTATCCTAATCCGGACAGACAGGGGTAAATTAATATGCCTCTCAACATTTTGTTGCGGGGCATAAAAATTCTCAAAGACAAGACCACCATATTTTCACTGGTACCACCAGGCTAAAAATATTTATAAGAAATAACATGGATAAAGGAATGTGTCATCATGAAATCACTAATTATAGCCAGAGAAGTACCATTGACTAATATGCAAATCCTTTCGGTTTATATTACGGATTCATCTATTAGATTTCTTTTTAAAAGCTCAAGATTTTACTGGCTATTGCAGTGAAACACTAAGAGTTAGTTATTTAGTATAATAATTAATAGTCTCAGGAATATCAACCAACATAAAAATGTATCTGGGGGCACTCCTGCCAATGATAAGGTAATAAATACTAAGGTAATTCACTGTACGATTGTACTCATTAACAAAATCAGGAAAGATTCTACATTACCATAAGTAAAACATAAGGTGCCAGATGTATTAGAATTACTTATAAACAGAGTAGACAGCCAAATTCTCATGTCACATTTTTCTGTTTTTGTTTTTACCGCCGATATGAATTCTAATTTTAGAGTCGTTTTTAGATTTTTATTCTTTTCCGGTAAAAGGAGGGTAATCTGAAAACCGAAATTACAAAATAGTGAAGAGTGCAAGAAAGAGCTATAATGATGACGGCTGTTAAGACAAAACGAGGTATTTGTTCAGGATAAAGATAGAAACCTGATTGATTTTGAAAATTGAAGCCACAAAAAACATAAAATGTCTTTTACACAATGTCCTTTTCAGCCTTGTATGTTATATTTCTGTATAATTTGACACAAAAAAAAAGTATTTTGTATTTATACTTGAGTTCATTGTAAGACCGCTGAACTTCGAAACAATTTGCAAAAAAACTGATGTAAAGTTACTAAAACTCTTTTAGAAAAGATAATTTGTAACTTGTGTCTTTCAGAAGTAGAAGAGGAATTTCATTTCACCCATAAATGTACAAAACTTAAATAAACTAGAGAACAATTACTTCAGTCTAAAATTATTGAAATAGTTTCCTCTTTTATAAATATTACCAATGAAGCTAGATTTAAATTTATGTATACTTGTGCTGAGAACTGACAGATAATTCAATAGTAGAAATCATGGTTGTAAAATTCATTAGTGATCTGTATACTTGGGACTATATCCAAAGATTTTTCTGATAATAAAATGAAATATATTGTAAATCCAACTACTAGTCAGCAAGTGAAAGCCTATGTAACTGAGGACAGGGGCCTCTTGGGGTCATTTGTTGTGTTGTGTGTTTAATATTTTGTTTTATTTTTATGTAAATGTCATCATTATATTGTTGTTTATATAAGTAATTGTTATTATGCCTTTGAACATCTTATGGATGTAATTTGTGCTTAATAAAGTATACTAATTATACTAATATAGTCCCAGGTATACTAACATTTCTTTATTGCATAATACTTGCATAACCACAAGTTACCGGGTCGATCGAGAACGTCTGTCGTAAAACTGTCACAAAATTTACGTATGATAAGAGGGTCGTAATGGGGATACCTTCATGACGAATCACGGTAAAAAAATCTTGCCAAATGACGTTAACGATAAATTTTGGAGCATGACGATAAAATGTACACGTTCTTTATGACGATAAAACAATCGACTGATTTAGACGAATCACGTTAATTTTTTTCCAAAAAATAAAGGTCACGGATAATTATATGAGACCTTTGACGAATCACGATAAGGATATTTTGACGAATCACGATAAAATTTTAACCAATTTGATGCTAACGGTAGCAAAAAATGACCGTTTGACGCCTGACGGTAAAGGGCATTCCTATCCTCATATAATAAAACCTGCATGCATGGTAAGTAAATTATTATCCTCTGCGACAAACAAACACAGCTGGTCTGCAAGGTATACCAATCCATCTTCTTGCCACTTTTAACCATTTAAGCAATATGTGCCATTGACATCCAAGACCACCAACAATAGTTGATGAAGTTCTTTATGATGCATACTTTTTCAACGTTAGCGATACAGGCTCATGTGAGCCTCAAGTTTTATTACAATGACGAGGAAGAATACATTATACAATTTATTATACGACCGCAATCATACGTGATTAAAGGAAATGATCGATATCATAGCCAATTGAAGCACTGTACATATCGATTTTAGGGTTACTATATCCATGGAAGTATTATATATAATAATTCCATGCTATATCAAAGGTCAGTATAATACTTCCATTGTTAAATTAAGCCAGTGAGAAGGGTCAAGATCTCAATGACTACAGACGTGCAAATAAAATTCGATTTTTTTTAATTATTTATCTTCTAGTAGAATATAATCTGCTTTGCCAGTCAAATTATTGGGGTGTCGGACCAATGGGATGTCCACCTATAGCTTGGTTATAAAAATAAGAAGATGAAGTCTCCACCAGAGACCAAATGACATAGAAGTTCACAACTACATGTCACCGTATGGCCTTCATCAATGAGCAAAACCCATACACATAGTAAGCTATAAAAGGCCCCGAAATGACAAATGTAAAACAATTCCAAAGAGAAAACGTACTAACGGCCTGACCTACGTACAAAACAATATACGAAAAAAAAACATGATATTCAGCAACAAACGACAACCACTGAATTACAGGCTCTTGACTTAGGACAGAAACATACTGAATGTGTCAGGGTTAAACATGTTTGATGGCGCCTAACCCTCCCCTAACCTGGGACAGCGGTATAACAGCACGATATAAGAACAAACTATCAAAATCAGTTAAAAAGGGCTTAACTCATAAAATCGAAGCACATAAAAACTCTAACATAACACAAAAGACACAAAGTACAGATCTGAGAGTACTTGAAAGCTAGTTCAAAGCCAATAACAACTAATAAAAAAATCATTTGTCTCAGATACCAATATCAATCAGTACACATCCAACATCCAATGGATATAGTTTATAGACGTCATTAACATTCAGAGAAAAACATGACCTTTGTGCAATGCCTAAATATAGGTATCGATGGATTGTAGAACCGTCAATGTACATATACATATATGTATAACAATAAAATTTATTTTGGTTTTAATTTACTGATAACAAAATCAATATTTATACCGATAAAAACAATATTAAAAAATCAAATACAGTGATAGTCGGAATAACTGCAAGTGTTAATGCCAAGGTGAAATATGGTACATGATTTTCTGCTATTACTCAGCTAAAAATGCAAGCATATGCCGATCCCCCTTTTTTTCTCATGCAATAGAGTGTGTACTGTCTCTACAATTTTAACTAAATCATAAAAAAATCAATGGTAGTTTTTTTAAACGCATTTGTCATTCACAAGAAATCGTCGATGGGTTTTAAAGATAATGTTATACATGAATACATAATTTCACATCAGTTCTATCGCATTTCACCATTAAAATTGTAACTTGAACAAAGCAAATAAACCGAGGAAAGTTAAACATATAAAAAAAAAGATTGAAAATACTACTCTTCGTTTAAAATGTGAAATACGAAAGTGTGCCGGAGCCATCAAAATCGCAGGCCAAGTAAAACAGACAATACCAAGGCCAAGTAAAACAGACAATACCTATTCCAGCATTAAATCATACATCATACCAAGGCCAAGGAGAAATACGACGAAAGGACAAACAGAAGTCCCAAGTCACAGAAACACGCCGTAACCCCACCAACAACCGGGGGTCAACTCAGGTTGTATGAAAGGTAGTCTGAGAATGCTCTGACGTCAGATGGCCTTAATAATAAATATATGACCTGTGGAGGCCTATACGAAAGGGTAAGCAGCTCCTACCACACAAGTCGAAGCAATGCATTATAAAGTGAGTGTACTTTAATGATAAACTTCTTTAGGATGCGCAAAGTGATACTAGTAAGTAATATTTCAGTATACTTTTTCCATTCGGAACTTATGTTATGAAGGAACTTCTATTTCGTGACACTACATGTAATGATTTTTTTTTAATTATGAGGTTATACAACTTACAATCTTAGCAAAAATACTTACCGGGGATATAACTATTATATTCTGGTATAGAAATCAAAAACTTTTATTTTTGTATTTGAATTAAGTCAGGTAATCATGGGCCCGTGGCTTTCCTACTAAATGATGTATATACCTCAATAGCCATTCGTTGGAAAGAAGAGCTTGTTTGAGATTTATTGGTAAGTTATGAGATAAACTTTGCGCTGTTCCTTTGCTATTTGCGTGTTGTTGTTTTTTTGTTTTTTTTTGCTGCATGTGCATGTACTGATTTTGTTTCATGGATGGAAACCCCATATCATTTGTCTTTCTATTTCTTATAAATTTCTGATTTATCTGATTTAAATAATTTAGCTGACATTTGGTCTTCTTCTTCTTCTTCTTCTTCTTCTTCTTCTTCTTCTTCTTCTTCTTCTTCTTCTTCTTCTTCTTCTTCGACTTCGACTTCTTCGACTTCGACTTCGACATTGCGGCCCCCTCGTTTCCTTTTTTATTTTTTTACAGATTTCTGCTCATATCTATACGACCTTACAATGGCATTGGTTGAATGACCACATATTCTTATAGATGGACATGCAATAGTAAACTTCACTACTGCCATTAACGGTAGAGCGAGGACACATTAAAAAGTAATGGCAGAAAATAAGATAAAATATTTAAGAAAATAAAAAAAATACTAAGCTAAAAGAAATATTAAAAGCAGAAATAAAAAAAAGAAGGAATGCTCCTAGCGACTACAGGGACATTAATAGTACCAAATATGTCTCTGGCGTCGGTGATGATATGAACTTAACCGTGATTCATGCCGAATGCTACTATGCTGGGACATAATATATTGTAAGTATAGTGTAAAATTCAAACAATTGGATTGCTACTAAATATATGAAATAACTCAAATAAACAATACAAATATGTAACATTTACATTTTTTTTTTAAATCTTAGAGAGAAATTATTATCAGACAAAATGACCAGAAATACATGATCAACAAGGCCACCCTTAACAAATTCTTTGCTTGCTGTTGCCTACCCATGCCTTACAGGGTTGGGTAGGTAGCGGTATGGATTTTTTTTTAAGGAGGGCCGCCGGGGTGGGCAACACCATAAGTTACAAGAAAACGACGTAAGAGCATGAAAAAAACTTTTACAAAAATTTGAAACGATTTTTGTCATAAAATTTTTTCGGGTAGGCTGCTTTTTAACTGGGTAGGTAGGCAACATCAAACAATCCGCCGTTTTAGAATCTCATGTATTCTGGTAAATAATCTCAATATGAATGGCTTACAAAGTTCAATCAACGACGTGACGTTATTTTCATTTTGGTGTACGAACAATGAGATTACCCAAAGTCCTTTAGATTCTAAAACGGCGAATTCTTATTTTTTTTGGTCCCAAAAGGTTCATTATACTATCCCAGAGACATATGTGTATATATTCCAATCAAGAGGGAAAGAAGATTGCGGTATATACCACTGATATAACAACTCTTTGAAACACTCTTGAAACTATACAACTTCCAGGATCTGTATTTTACAGTACTGATGTATCAATATTATTTGCTTATATAGTAGTATTGACTTTCTTTAAATAACTCCCGTAGGTGTTAGCATAATTTAGTTTATAGGTTTTCAGACATACCGGAAGTAAAAAATTCCGTGTTGTCCGATTTGAGTTCAAATTTAGAATGTACATTGTTATGACGACAGGCGCCAAACTAAACACATTTCTACACTGCCAACGTGAGCAATAGATTGCTGTTGATTCTTCAGTCATTTTTACAAGAAAAACATGGCAGTTCCATTTTCAAACACAAAACTTCGCGTTCCGAAAGGATTTCAAAATGTTTTAGAAGGTCTTGCACGTGAAGTTTTGAGAAATCAACCAGACAACATATATGAATTTGGTGCAAAATACTTCGAACAGATGCTGGCTGTTCGTGATGGTAAGATTTCTTGATGAAAACATTTATCCATTTTATAAAGTTGCAAAAGCATATACTATCAGCTGCTTTGAATGTCATATATTACTTACATTGTAGGTAGCCAATTAAGTATAATTTATATAGTATTAGTACTATTACAACTTTAGTACCCTGAAAATGATTGATATTACCCAAAAAGTCTATTTTATATGATTTATACAGCTTATATTGATAATAAAACTACATTTTAAGATATATACATGTATCACTTATATTTGTACAGTTTCACTTCAGGAATATGATTTATGTCTCATGTGTAGCCGGAGAGCATCATTCTTCTTACAAATTTTTTTGCGCAATTGGATACACCTTAAGAGCACCCTTTGCGCGGCGCAGAGGACTAGACTTTTAGGGCACTCTTTACATTGATATAAGGGTACTGTAATGGATAGGGATTTAATCGAATATACCATTGTTTCATATTTATTGGTAAGAAATAAAGATATGTGTATTAGGTTGTTAATTTAATTCCTTTTTGTAATGAAATTATCACTTCTAGACTAGGCTAATAGAATCTTGACCATGTTCATTGTGCAACCGTCTCATTTCAATCAATAACTCCAGTTATAAACTTTAATACTGGATCACTGAAACTAATTGTCTAAGGATTTGTTGTGAATGTGGACTTTGCATGACCAAGAGCATATGGCATGCAATGCATTGCTTTTTAGATGCACTAAACTTGTCAAAAGAAGTGCCAAATACCTTTTGGATCTCACATGTTTATATCAAGCAAAGCTATCTTGGCTCATAACTGTACAAATAGTTTTAGAATATTCAAGACTTGCTATACATATTCTTCTGCTTTTCATTTTTTTCCATCTGTGTTTTTTTTTTATTTATTGAAACGTTGTTGATTTTTGTAACTATTCAAAACTATATCAGCTATATTCTTAACTTTAATTTCATTTAGGTAACAACAGTATGAAAGCCGTTGTAAATTCACACCCAATCCAACGTCAAAACTGTGCAAACATTACGAAATTCATTAAAATGTCTGCCATTAAAATTTTGACTTTCGTTCCAAGGGAAATATCTCGAAATAGTCTTGCAAAAAGATGAATTACCGACCCGATATTAAATTACGGTGGAGTGTTCTAAAATACGATGGAAAAGGGGCAAGGCGCCAAAAATTTTTCCTAAAAAGGGCAGGGCGTCAAGGTGTAATACCACCATTGATTTTCCCCTATTAGTCTTTGTTAAATTTGCACTTACTTACTTAAAACTATATATTTATTAAAGTATTTCTTAGGAAAAATTTTCTGGTATAGCAGAATATAAGAAATAAGGAGAAAAAGCTCCCCAAAACTCTAAGTATGACTTGTTCTGTCAACTAATATTCATGGTAAAGTCCTATTTCAAGGAAATTTTCTCATAAAATGTGTTTTGGAGACTCAATCCACTCAGAATATTTCATTATTTGTAATATTTCACATAAATAGCAAGAAATTTTAACACATGAGAGTACTCTCCAGGTCAAAGGTGCATGTACAGCTTCCAATATTAGGTGTAATACCACCATTGATTTCCCCTATTAGTCTTTGTTAAATTTGCACTTTTCAAAAAATTGTGCAGAATTTATCTTTGTTTCAAATAAAGAAATACTTGGCATGAGTAAAGTTTTATCCTGTCCAGTACTATAGAAAAAAATTCACATAACATTTCATTGCATATAAGAAAATAACCATCACTGGAAGTTAACCAATCAAATTTTCCCCCTTTTTTAATCTGTGTACAAACTGAATGTGACTTTTTTCCTTTGTTATACTGGTTATTTCAAGCATTCCTGTCAAGTTTTGTCATAATCAGTTCATTAGTTTGAGAAAAATCTACTATAATGTAAGACGACATCTACAGCCATGACAGTGATTCGAGCAAAATTATCTACAGCCATGACAGCGATTCGAGCAAAATTTCTTCAAAAATCCTAAACCAAGCCGCATCATGATAGAATATAGTGTGGACCAAAAAATGATCAAATATTTATCTTATCTGCCTACAAACAGTTGAATATGATACAAAAGATGACTTAAGGATGATAAATACTACTAATGGACCTCTTTGTCTTCCTTATAAGGTCTCTTTTGGTCCATTTATACCTCTCATTTTCTCAAAATTTCTACTTTTTAGGCCAATAAATAAAAAAATTGGGGTAACTTTCACTCATTTATGATAGAAATGTTATAATAAATGATTAATTGAAGTATTCAAGCTGAATGAACTATCCGTATAAAAGTTTACTGTCTCCAAGGAGGTTTCAATAAGTCCTTACGTAAAACTTAAATTTACGCCACGTTCCAGAGAGGGACATACAAAGCTTCTCTTTTGGTGAATAATTTGTTGTTACTGTTTAAAAAATAATTTCATTTACTTAAAACTATATATTTATTAAAGTATTTCTTAGGAAAAATTTTCTGGTATAGCAGAATATAAGAAATAAGGAGAAAAAGCTCCCCAAAACTCTAAGTATGACTTGTTCTGTCAACTAATATTCATGGTAAAGTCCTATTTCAAGGAAATTTTCTCATAAAATGTGTTTTGGAGACTCAATCCACTCAGAATATTTCATTATTTGTAATATTTCACATAAATAGCAAGAAATTTTAACACATGAGAGTACTCTCCAGGTCAAAGGTGCATGTACAGCTTCCAATATTAGGTGTAATACCACCATTGATTTCCCCTATTAGTCTTTGTTAAATTTGCACTTTTCAAAAAATTGTGCAGAATTTATCTTTGTTTCAAATAAAGAAATACTTGGCATGAGTAAAGTTTTATCCTGTCCAGTACTATAGAAAAAAATTCACATAACATTTCATTGCATATAAGAAAATAACCATCACTGGAAGTTAACCAATCAAATTTTCCCCCCTTTTTTAATCTGTGTACAAGCTTTAGTAACCATGTAACCTCAAGTTTCCAAAATATTCTATAGAAACCCCAAATAAAAAAATAATGGTGCTTTGAAATACCGGAGATATATGTTTATGACCCAGAAATGTTTTACTGCAATGAAATGTAGGATCAATTACCTACAACTGTCAAATTCAAGGGAATATTTTTTTTCGACCTATTTCGTATGCAACCGGATGTGACGTACTATGATTTGGTGGTATTACACCTCAAGAAAACAAGGCAGGGCGCCATACCACGCAAAAACATCCTGCAGGAAACACTAACTTATGGCTGACTAAGTATCTATTGCATGTACTAAGAGAAGCAATCCTGTCGCACTTTAGTTGGGCGCCAAATGTAACCAGAGAGCATGATTTTAATCACAAAATCGCCTTGTCTCCTGCATGACTTGAACCCAGGACCTCTGTGTTACAAGGCAGTGCTTTAACTGACTGAGCTGAAGAAGTACTTCCTTAGCTGAACCGCTTACGGCTGACTAAGTATTTACTACAAGTACCAAGTAGCAATTCCATCACACTTCCCCTACCTGAAGAGTCATCATACCATTATGACTCAAACAACACATACCCTAGCTAGAAATCCTCTCTAACCACATTGGGTTTTTGTCGAGCCTGCGACTTTTGTCGCAGAAAGCTCGACATAGGGATAGTGATCCGGCAGCGCCTACGGCGGCGGCGGCGTTAGCTAACTTCTTAAAAGCTTTATATTTTAGAAGGTGAAAGATCTGGATGCTTCATACTTTGTATATGGATGCCTCATGTTACGAAGTTTCCGTCAGTCACATGTTCAATGTCCTTGACCTCATTTTCATGGTTCAGTGACTACTTGAAAAAAAAGTTAACTTTTTTTGTAATGTTAAATTCTCTCTTATTATAAGTAATAGAGTAACTATATTTGGTATGTGCGTACCTTGCAAGGTCCTCATGTCCATCAGATAGTTTTCACTTGACCTCGACCTCATTTCATGGATCAGTGAACAAGGTTAAGTTTTGGTGGTCAAGTCCATATCTCAGATACTATAAGCATTAGGTCTAGTATATTCAGTGTATGGAAGGTCTGTAAGGTGTACATGTCCAACTGGCAGGTGTCATCTGACCTTGACCTCATTTTCATGGTTCAGTGGTTATAGTTAAGTTTTTGTGTTTTGGTCTGTTTTTCTTATACTGTATGCAATAGGTCTACTATATTTGGTGTATGGAATGATTGTAAGGTGTACATGTCTAGCTGACAGATGTCATCTGACCTTGACCTCATTTTCATGGTTCAGTGGTCAAAGTTAATTTTTTTAGTTTTTGTCTTTTTTTCTAATACTATACATGCAATAGTTCAACTATATTTGGTGTATGGAAATATTTTATGATCTGTATGTCAGTCACACAGGTTTTATTTGACCTTGACCTCATTTTCAAGGTTCATTGCTCAGTGTTAAGTTTTTGTGTTTTGGTCTGTTTTTCTTAAACTATAAGCAATAGGTCAATTATATTTGTTGTATGGAAGAATTGTCAGCTGTACATGCCTGCCTAGCATGGTTCATCTGACCTTGACCTCATTTTCATGGTTCATTGGTCAATGTTTGGTTTACTTGGTTAATGTTAAGTTTATGTGACAGTTGTAATACATTTGTAAAGCTTTATATTTTAGGACTATCAACATAACATCAATGATTAGTAAAGAAGGCGACACATTTCAGCGTGTGCACTCTTGTTCAATTAGGCGCCAAATGTAACCGGAGAGCATTATTTTCATTACAAAATCACCTTCTCATCCACTTACGGCTGACTAAGTATTTTCTACAAGTACTAAGGAGAGCAATTCCGTCGCAGTTGTATGCAAGTTTCCTTGAATAGAAATATGATGGATGTAATTATTCAAAAGATGGATAGCTTTGTCTAAATAATTACATTTGCCATATCATTCTACAAGGAACTTGCATAACATAAGGAATATAAGTTCCTTCACAATATAATTTCTAAGAGGAAGAAATATTCTGTAATATTATTTCCACTGGCACAAATATAACAGTGTTTGTTCCTTACAGAATAAAG